AATAGTACGGGGTGCAGTGTGGGGGATGGAGTCTTCTCTTCCTCCTTATCCCAGCAGCTCTGGGGAAGCCCCTGGGGCTGGGTGGGGGAGGCCCTTGGGGGTCTTTGGGGGCAGATCCTGATTCCCCCTTCCCCCTCAGGTCTCTCCAGCTCCCCCCTGCTGGCCCCCAGCCCCCCTCAGATGCCAGGGGCCCATCAAGCAGCTACACCCAATCAGAGAGCAGAGGGTGCGGAAGGGACCAATGGGGCGTCAACACCAGGCCCCACCCACCATGCGGTGAAGCGGGAGAGCAGCCCCATCTTGTCCCCTGTGGAGCAGCCAATGGGCTGTCAGCTCCCCCTGCCCTTGGCTAATGGACGGCTGGACCACAACCTGGATGCTCCGGCCAATCACTTTGCACCATTGCTTCCTGCCGCTTTCCACCGGCCAATTGTTTTGCTGGGCTCTGGACCACTGCCCAATCACGTGCCTCCAAGGGATGCTGGCAGCCCGCCCCCTGGGGCAGGGCCAGGGCCAAGGCTTCGCACCCCTGACGCAGTGGGTGGGGGGGGCAGCTGACGCTGGGAGCCCTGGGGGTTGTGGCCCCATGACCCCAGCCCAGGGGCAGTGATCCGGTGACCCCTCCCTGGGCCAGTAGCATGGGGGGTGACTGCCGACCCATGGGGAACCCAGGCATCCGGCCCCCACCCCAGTCAGGACTGTGGGACCCCACTGTCCGCCCCCCCAGCCAACACTGCGGGACCCAGGCATTGGGGTTGGTGGGGGGTGGGGCTATGACCCCCATGGCATGTAGCAGGGGTGGGGGCATCTGAGCCTAGCCCCCCCAGTCTGGGACACCCCCAGTGGGGTGGGAAAGGGGTGCTGCTCCTGCAGGTATTTAGGGCCTGGCTGGAGATGATGGGGGGGGTCCCCTGCACTGAGGCCCCCCCGGCACAGCATTAACCCCTCCAGTACCAGGCTGCACCCCACACAGCCTGGTCTGCCTGGGGGGGCATCTGCTTCCCCTACCCCCCCAGGTGGCAGCATCAAATACTTGAATGGGGGGTTCCAGGGGGGGTAACTTATTGTGAGGGGGTAGAGGGGGTGTGCTGCTGATGCAGCTAATAAAATATTTCTGTTTTTTTAATGCAGATTTTTGTCTCCAGGGACTTGGGGGTTGGGGGGCTGCAGGTCAGGAGTGAGGGGCAGTGAAGGGGCAGCTGGGGGGGGGTGAAGGGATGGGGGGTGAGATGTCATCCCAGAAGTGGCTGCTGCGGGGGCGGGACAGCACCTCTTGGTTCAGGGACAGAAGGACCAATGGTGCCCTCACTCCCCGCCCGCAACCTCCTGCCCCCTTCATCCCTGCCGGTGCCCCCCACTCCTGGCCCTCAACCCCCTGCCCTGCTGGTGCCCAGGAGTGGATCTGCTCTGGTGGTTCTGGCAGAGGTTTGGGAAAGTGCCAGCTGCACCCCCCTGCAGTTGCCCCATCACTGCACCCTTTGTGCTGGAGCAGCTGGCCAAAGGGCGGGGGGTGACCCTAGACACCCGGGATCCATTTCTAGTGGGGGCAGGGGGGACGGAGCAGCTGGTGGGGTGGGTGCTGTTTTGTGCCAGGTCCCGGCCCTTGCCAGCTTGGGGAGGGGCTGCCCGGACCCCTGGGTTTTCTATTCCAAGCCTGGGGAAGGAAGGAAATGCAGGGAGTGGTCTGATAGCCAGGAAGGGGCAGGGGCTGGATTGGAGCCCTGTCCCTCCAGCTGCGGGGTGGGGGCACTATTGTCGTACCATCAATAAAGTCAATATGGAACTTTGGGCCACCCCCGTCAGGTGGCCGGTAGTGTTTCTGGCACCCGGCTGGTAGCCGGGCAGGTCTTTCCCTGGAACTCTGGGTGCGGTGGGGGCACAGACCAAGCCAGGGCCGGGGTCGCTGACAGCTCTTTATTGGCTACATGCCAGTGCCCCCCGCCACCCAACCAG